GGTCCGTGAGGGAGTGACTTAGATCAGCTGCAGATGACTCCACAAAGCCAGAATCGTTCCTGTCCTTGTGGGTGAGGTGTGGAGACTTGCTGCTGTGTGTGGCCAAGGCATGCCCCAGGGGAGAGCTCCTGGCCTGCTCGACTTCGGGCAGAGATCTTGACAAGTCAGGCTTCCAGCTCAGCCGGCCGTCCCGCTCGCTGCCGCTCCCCAAGCTGAGGGACGAGCTGTCTGACTCCAGGTCCGGGGTGGAGCTGGCCCTGGGCCGAGACCTTGATCTGCTTCTCAGAGAGCTCACGTCCTCTTCAGTCCCCTCTTCAAGGGAAGAGCAGGCCTGCACCCTGTGCTGTCCCGCGGCCTCGCCCTGGGGCTGGGGAGCCGTCAGGGAGGAGCAGAGGTTCGGGGTGGAGACATTGAGCCCGCAGCTTATGATGGTCTGGAGCTTGTGGTGAGGATTCTTGTAGGGCTGGAGGCAAATGGAGGGCATGTAGCCAGTACGGCCGTTGTATCTGAAGGGGAAGGATGGAAAGCCACACTGAAGAGAGCCCTTCTCCCAGCTCAGACCGAGGGGAGGGAGCAGAGCAGCCGAGGGAAGCAGGTGAGGACTCAGCCCAATGCTGTACACGGGGCATGAGGAAGGGGAAACTGTCCCTAAGCCAAGGGCAGTCAACTCAGGGGGAGCTCCTCTGCACCCCACTTGGGGAAGAGCAGGCGAGAAGCACCTGCAGCAGGTAACTGGCTCCCTCGGGAAACGAGAGCGTCGGAAAAGCCTCCTTACCGGATCAGCCACCAGCCATCGTCGGATTTCCTGACCACCTCCACGACGACACCGTTGTTCAGCGAGAGCTCGTCTGCCTTCTGAGACTCGTAGGCCCGCATGACAAAGTACAGGCTGCCTGCAGAGAGAAGGGGGAGGTCGTTTTTGCCTTGCGGAGAAAATGCTTCCGTCCCTGTGACCGACCAGCTCAGCAGCCCCGGGGAGCAAGCGAGAGCTCGCATGACAAGTGTCCCTGTAAGTGACTGATTTGCTCAGGGACCCACA